CCCCCCCCCCCCCCCCCCACTAGCGTACCACACTCTCCCCCTCGACCTCTCAACCTCCCAGGCTCCCCTCATCTTCTTCCCAGTATCCAAGCGAAGCCAGCCCGTCAGTCGGCCACACAGCCAGTAAGCCAGCCAGAGCCGGCAGATAGGCCAGCAGGGCTGTGGGACCTGTGATCGGGGAGACGAGTTTAGTGTACCGGAGTTTGGAGGGGTGGGGCTAGGCTTGTTTGGGGAAATTGGGATGGAGGGGATGGAAGGATGGAGGGGGAGATGAATAGAGGGGGAGATGAATACATCCAATAAAATACCCAACCCATACACACTCAATCCAAAAAGTCTCGTCTTCTCTGATTGAGCCAGCCTGTTGTTGTGCCTCTGCTCCTGGTTATAGAAATTGCATTATACACACAGTATCTGCGTACCGTATTTGCTCGCTTGATTAGATTCAGATTCTTGGTCGATTCGCTTGCACAGGGAAGGGAGGGAGGGAGGGGAATGCGGTAGGGTAGTTGTGTAGGGGATGGGTTGGGTTGGCGTGAAATGTGGTTTGGATTCTTTGTGGTTTGGGGGGATTGAGAAGGTGGGTAAGGAGAAGGGGTCTGGTTTGGAGGGATTGGGGTGGGAGTGTGTATGTATGTGTGTGAGGAGTTGGGAGGATGGGAGGATAGGATGGGATGGGATGGTGACTGGGAATCTGGTATACCAATAAATGCCATTGAACTGTTGTAATGTTTATATTATAGAAAAGAAAAATAATCTTCATCCTACACAAATCTACCCACGACCAACCCTACACCTACCTACCTTTTGCTCCCTCCTCCCTTCTCTACCCCCCCCAATTCCAATTCACCACATCACCCCTCCCTCCCCCACCCGCACAATCGATAACTCGTCCACACCACACACACACTCCGGTACACTAAGCCCGGCAGCGGGGCCCTCGAAGCATCCAACCAGCCCATGCCCATCCAGTGGTGTGAGCAAGCCGGGAACGCACTCGCTCCCTTGCCTTGCCTTGCCTTGCCCGGTCGCCGGTCGCGCTGCAAGCCCGCAAGCATACAACCTCGCAAGCGTGCCGACCTGCAAGCGTGGAGGCAGGCAAGCTGGTGCCTTGCTGGTGCCTTCCGCATGCCGCCGCAGCCCAATGCGGTCTTGCCTTGAGCGTGCGAGCGGCCGCACCGGTGCGTCCCGTGGTGTGCGCTGTGTGTACCGATGGTGAGTCGGCGGCGGCGAAGAAATTGTCTCCCCGCCCGCTGCCGGCTAGAGAGAGAGGATGAGAATGAGAGAGAGTGTAGAAAGAGAAGGGGGAGAAAGAGTCATGAACAAAGAAAAGCCGGCCCAGAGAATTCATCTCTGGTTTCGGGGTGGTGGTGGTGTGTGTGACCGCCAAGCAAGCATTCCAAGATTCTAACTGGACAGAGTAGTGAAAGATTTTTTTTGGTTAGCTGGCTGACTGGTTGGATGGCTGGCTGACGTTTTTTCTCTGCAGTTTTTTTTTCTCTGCTTGCGCATGTGCAGCTGATGAATGTAACCGTGTCGCGTGTCGCGTGTTGTGTCGTGTCGTGAGTCAGGTCAGGTCCAAGTCGGTTCCAAGGCCGGAAAGGCTGTCATGTGTCATGCTGGTGCATCGTGTCAGACCCAGTTGGCCGTGACAGGCGAGACCTTGCGGGAAAGGCAAAGAAGAGCTCAGAGGGAGGAGAGCGAGGCGGGGGAAGTGAGGGCCCTACGGCAACTGGGGCCCTGCGTACGATACCCACCTACAAGCCAGAAGGAGGTCGAGGCTTGACCGTACCTACATACGTGTACAGTATCGTGTGTACCTGCAACCTCGCTCGCAGATATCCGATTAGCCATGCGATTGACTAATGCGACGAAACGGACGTGCTTGGCGAGATCGTAAAGGGGACAGGCACGCGAGAACCATGCCATGCCATGCCGCACAGATGGCGCGCGAAAGACGGAAACGTTGGGCGGGAGGATGTGTGCCACAGAGCACGTTTGTGTGTGTGTGTGTGTGTGTGTCTGCAAGAAAACACGCGCCCTGCAAAGGAATTCTCAGTAAAAGTTGTATTTTTAGCAAGCCCAAAATACTACAGATACGATCTCGCTCTTGTTAGAAGTCGCATAAGAGATTCAAAGTTGAAAACAGCAAAAAAATCAGATAGCCACCCAAATCCAGTATTCCCCATGCCCCCACCGGCCCCCCATGTGAATTTGATATCGGTTCGCAGTAGAGACAGAAGAAGTGATCCGCACCGGGAACAAGCAAAGAACCCAAGACAAGAGTTGCGCGCAAACAAAAAAGACGTATCGCGCACAGAGAAGGTGGAGTCGACCTTCCCATGTGGAAAGCAAAAAACACAAGCGACCACTAGCCCTCCAGCAGATGATGCAACGAAGCATCCCACTTTGCTGGCCCAATCCACGCTTGCGATGATACCTTGTATGAACAGACCAACGAAGCCTCCGAATATGCAGCCCCAGTTCTAGTTGTTTGCAGTAAAAGACAGATGGCCACCCAATTTAGTGTAGACAAAGGAGAGGTAAATTCGAACGCTTGCCACCATGGAAGTTTTCAGAACGGCCCCCAGCATGACCCAGACTTCCTCGGCCGCAATACGAGGCGGAGAGATTGTGAAATGGTGTGCTGCAGACACTCGCCGCGCATCATCAGAACCAAGGATACATCGTCTCAACCCGACAATGCGATGACGTTGCATGGTCTTTGTGGCAATAAAAGCAAATGTCCGCCCCGAAAAAGAGCACTGCTCATGACCAAAACTCCTTGTGAGAAGTGCAGGAACAGTGTAGAGGGAGAAAGGTTATACACGGAAGGAAATAACGACTGAAGATTCGAAATGGAAATGGCTGCACGGTGCTTTTTGCCGCGCGTGCTGCTCCTGCAAGACCAGCTCTGGAGCAAAACCCATTCGACGCGAGAGGGAGAGAGAGAGAGAGAGAGAGAGACGTCTACATGGGTCGACGGTTGAGCATATTCAGCATGGAAGAATCAGTCGACGTGCGTCCATTTCCATTATCCGTAACAAGGTCGTTGATGCGCATGCTAGGCCTGCTTGTAGCTGTCGAGGACGTGGTCGTCGGAGGGGGAGGAGGCGGCGTCCTGCCATCACTGCGCGGCGGTGGCGGAGGCGGCTGCAGGGCGCCGTTGGGCTGCGGTGGAGCGGCGTAGTAGGGGGTAGGAGGGGCGCCCGGTGTGGTGGGCGCTTGGGAATGGGGCGAGGAAGACGATCGGCTCGGTTCGTAACGGTAGGCGCTCTGCGGTGAGCCCTGACGAGGGGGTTGTGCGGTGTAGTATGGCTGGGGAGGGGGCGGGCCAGACGCGTAGGGAGTAGAAGGGTTTGCTGTAGAAGCAGCCGAAGTTAGAGACTGTGGCTCTGGATATACATAGTCTGAGCTAGGGCCTCGACGAGGAGCTGCCTGTGAGGCTGAGCCAGGTGGTGGCGGCGGCAGGGTAGGAGTGTGAGGCTCGGGATGGAGCCTCTTCCTGCCCATCAGCGCCTCACGGGCTGCCTCCTCTTGAGGCGTACCTGGCGGACCATGTTCAGAGTGAGCAGAGTACGGACCTGCAGTGGGACTTGGCAAATACGGCTGCGGACGCGCGGGCTGTCCGAATGCCTCTGCGTGGCTAGCCGGGGGAAGAGGCTGGCCATATGCGCCGTACATGGGCGGAGGCTGGCCAACGCCGCGCCATACCGTGTGTGCAGGCACAAAGGCCTGGGTCTGAGCCGAGACAGGCGTGAAGATGCAGTCTTGGTTGAATCGCATGCAATTCGAGCAGCGGCCGTCTTCGGTGGCCTCGAAACCCGAACAGCGAATCTAGGTTGGCATTAGCATGCGGAATGGACGGTTTCGACGGCCGTCTCGGCAAAGGCATTGATTTACCTTGCGACGCCTGCAGTACCGACAGGCAATGGCAGTGCGCTGGCGTGGCGCAGGCGGCTGGTGGTGCTGCTGGACATATTGCGGCGGTGGAGGGGCTTGCTGGCGATATGGGTCCTGGGAGGGCGGGCCGCGAGTCCACTCATTGGGACCGGGCAGGCGATAGGGCTGGGGGTACTGTGGTGGGTGTTGTTGATGGGCCATGTCCGGACGGGGTTCTTGGGGAGGAGGAGGGAGGTTCGAGTTCATCTACGGTTGGGAGCCGACTTGTCAGCAGGCCGGCCTGCAGCTCATGTGTGGGTGGACGGCGTGCAAAAGCAAAGCAGCGCAAAGGAATTGGGCACGCGTGACCAGCGACTTACATGAGCAGGCGGCGGATATGCGCCATTGGCAGGCTGCTGTGACGTTGGCGGTTGCCAGTGCGTGGGGAGCTGGCCTTGACCGCCCTGGTGTGGAAACATGGCAGCAGGGGCAGCGGCAGCGGCAACGGCGGTGTGCGTGGGTGCGTGGGTGGTTGGGTGGTTGGGTGGTTGGATGGCGGGTGACGGGTGACGGGTGACGGGTGACGGAGGACGGAGGACGGAGAGACGGGTGTCGAATTAGATGCGGGCGCAACGTGGTGCTGTCACGCCGTCATGTACCAGTGCAACTCGGTCGACAGGCTTCGAGGAACGAGACAAGTGGTGCGGGAGATCCTCTGGGGCGGGTGAGGTGTCACAAACACTGGCGGGGGGGCCGTCAGGTCGGCTGCAGGTTCAACGAAAGCAGTGCAGGGCGGGCGACGGAGACGGCGACGGCGACGGATGCAGGGCTACGCACGGGGGAGGGAGTCGAAGGGAGGGATAAGGCGCGCGCAGGCACTCCCTCGTGGACGGCGAGAAGGAGAGAAGGGAGAGAAAGTATGTGTGTGTGTGTGAGAGAGAGAAAGAGAGAGAGAGAGAGGAAGCGTGGTCGACGGACAGCAGCAACTGTAGGGTGGTGGGGTTGGGTTGGGTTGGAGAGGGTAGAACGGAGACGAAAGAGGCGAGAGAGCGAGCGAGCGAGCGAGAGAGAGAGAGAGAGAGAGAGGGGGAGAGAGAGAGAGAGAGGGAGAGGGAAAGAAAGAAGAGGGCGAGAATCAACGTGGGTCGAGCAATGAAGTCGCGGTGGGGGTGGTGGTTGTAGTGATGGTCCTGATGGTGGTGGTGGTGGTGGTTGTGGTAGCGGTGGTGCTGATGGATGGTGATGATGATGATGGTTGGCGGTGGATGGATGCGGAGTATCTGGGCTTCTCGAAGCGTGGAGGGTCCCAGGAGCATGGGAACAGGAGATTCAAGCGGGCTGATGGGCGGCCACTACTTTACTAGAAAATCAGCCCAAGTTCGTCAACCCTTTCGCGGCCGAAGGCGTTTAACCCTGCAAGCTCGACAAGCGGATCGAGCCTTCGCCTTAGCTTAGCGCGTTTGGCGGGCACAGTGCATGGGATGGACCAGGCAGCGAGGGCGAGACGAGCGGAGCTCACAGGGAGAGAGGGGGAGAGGGAGGGGGAGAGAGAGAGAGAGAGAGCGAGAGAGAGAGAGAGAGAGGGGCCCATGGCACAAGTGGCACACCATGGCACGCATGCTGCTTTTATCACAAGGCACAGACAGACATGACAAACCTCGTAGGCCCTACCTCTGTACCGTCCATACCCTCACCTAGTATATCCCCGTACTGTGCCTCTCTAGGTGGTTGTGGTGTGTCTACCATTGTACCTAGGTACCTGCTGCCTAGACCTAACAGCCCACCATGTGTCTACTCCTCCTTTTTAATTGTACAGGAATGGACTGTATGTGTACTAGGACGCAATGCCGTAGGTATGTCCATCTATCAACTTATGTACGCCATATGCGCGAGCCCTGCCTGCTGCGCTTCCTTTTCACACACGAGCGTCTGCGCAACGTTGCATCATCACCACGCCGCCACCTGCCCACGCCCACACACCACCTAGACCACCACCACTATCATTGCCGCCGCCGCCATCTCTGTGCACCAGCAACACCAGTACCAGCTCTCTCACTTTCTCTCTCACACTCCACACACACACACTCTCTCTCTGTGTGTGTCTCTCTCTCTGCTCGCCCCTTCGCTCCCCCTAGCCATGTCCCTGTCCACTTACTCCCAATCCCAGTCATACCTACTGTAGCTACCCCCAGCACCATCCCCGTCCCCGTCCCCTACCATTACCATGATCCCTATCCACCATAATGGCATAGTGCATACCTACATCCATCCATCCATACGCCTACTAGAGTAGGTAGGTAGACACACACACACACTGGCTCCTCGACCGCAACCGTCAAGCGTGACTGCTAGCCAGCCCAGGCCAGCCATCTGCCCTTCCTAACAGCACAACACAAATGTATGGCCCACCAGCAAGCCCAGTCGCTCGCCATCGGCAAGCAGCAAGCCCCTTTGAAAACAGACCAGGCTTGGGGGCGGATGACTTGGACGGTGGGAGGGAGGGGAGGGAGGGGAGGGGAGGGGGCCTTCTGCTGCATGGGCGTCGGCCCGGCCAGCTTGCTCATCAAGTGGTGACTTCGCCAAGAGGCCTCGGGTACTGCCGCTCGCGTGTGATCTACGAGCCTTTAATTATACACACACGGCCGCCTCATACCTTCATACGCGGCCACTTTTTCCGCGCTGACCACTCATGGCTACCAGCCCGTTTTTGCCACTTGGTTGCACCGCGCTTGTTTCCACCGCTTGCGTTTTTGGCCAGCCAGCTGCAAATGGCCCCCCCCCCTCTCTCTGCAAAGAAACAGCTCCACTCGCCATCCAAGCTGCAAACCCTGCCGCAAGGTGGGAGAACGAAAAAGAGAAAGAGAGAGGGAGAGAGAGAGAAAAGGGCTGCATGGTTGCTGCGCTCGCTGCCCACCTGCTGTTGTTGCTGCCACTGCTGCCAATGCAAGCAAGGAGCACGGCATGGCATCACAAAACAGCGTGGCACAGCACCTGGCAGCACCTCGGCCTCATCTTTTTCATCTAACGGGCCGCCCTGTGTCGCTTTCGCTTGCAGTGCAGTGCAGCGACAAGTCACGAACGACACGGCACGAGCCTCTGACCGCTGGGCAGTAGTCTGCAGCATCTCCTTTCGGCTGGCTGCTGCGATCCGGTGAGGGCTGAAGGCTGCTGTCGGTTTCCCGCCGCTGTTCGAGGCAATGCGCCCGAGCATGACGGCAGATGGGAACGCGCTTCCTAAAAAGAAGGTAGTTACAGGGGCAGGGGGCCATCGCCTTGTCCGTCCTGCCCTTGCCCTTTGGCCGTCGCTGATAGGGCTGGTCCGTTGTTGCGTCGGTCAATTTTCTACACATGGTCGCCGTTGTCACCGTGCTGGGCTGTCATTTGTGGTTGGTGTGTTGCCAGCGTCCGACCAGTGACGTGAGCGGGCCTTGGTACAGTTGTGTAGGTAGTTAGCGTTGGTAGGCAAGCCCCTCCAAGGCCTTAGGGCAGCCATGTACCGGACAGGACCTACCGTACCCTAGCACAACACTTGCCATGTCCGTGTGTGCCACTCGGCGACATGAGGCATGAGGCAATCCTCCGTTAGCGGGGCACACAGCCAGACAAAGACGGGAGGGCCGATGACCTGCGGCGGGAGAACCGTTCGTCCACAAAGCACAGCAAAGCAGCGCTGCCATCTACCGTAGTAGCCACTGTACAGTACAGTACCTCGCCTGAATGCGCCGTCAAGTAATGGAGCCGAATCTTGCCCCGCCCTTGTTCGTCCAAGCCTCTCAAAGCCGACAAGAGAAGGAAAAAACTGCCATGCCCATGTCCCCCAGTCCCCCCGTCTCTCTCTCGCTCTCTTTCTCTCAGCTGCCATGGCGTCGTGTCCGACGGGTAGCATGCAACGCAGCCCACCTCCGTCCTCAAATCAGAGTCCATAGCCCACAATCGGCCATCTACTCTAGCTGATCTCTCACTCATCCTTGCATCGGCGAAGACTCGCGAACGGCCAACTCCATGGACAAACAGGATTGTCTAGTACCTACGTGCACACCCATCGCTCCCCCTCCCCTAGCCTGCCGTTTCTTCTCCTACCCACTGCAACTCCTACTAGCACCCTAGCACCACAACCCCCTTCCCCGAAACGAAAAGAGAAAAGAAAAAAGAAAAAAGAAAAAAGGCACGACGGATTTCCAAACCCTTGCCCCGGACGGCGCGGATGTACGCACCGTGGAAAATGGAGAATGGCGATGGACTAGATAGGTATGTACCTCGTGCTTGCCCGCCCGCGCGCCCCGCACGATCCCAGCGCGTAACCGTACCGTACTTTTGTATTGTAAGTTCGGACCAGGGCGGGTACGGTGTACGGTGTAGAGTACGTACTGTGGTACTCCCATTTGCACAGCCTCGGTTGTTGCAGGCTGGGGCTTTGATGGGAGTCAGGCTTTGCTTGGACGGGGATTGTATGAGTGATGGTGCTGAATCAGCGTGGGAGGGCAAGGGGCGGAGTCAGGGTAAGCTGGGGGGGGGGGTCGGTTTTTGGTGTGTAGTTTTGGGGAAGACATGGAGTAATGTAGTATGGTATGCCATTCCAATGTACAGAAACATTATACATGTACATGCAGACACACGTGCGCATTTACTCGTTCTCGGGCCCACGTCACCACCACCACCACCACCACCACAATTCCAATCCCAATTCCAATCCCCCTCCACCCAAATCATTCCACACCCTCCATCTCCAAACCCCATCTCCCCTCCACAAATCCATCCAACCACTCCCCCCTCGCCCGCCCTTTTCCCCTCAAATCTCCAATCCACTCGTGTGCATGCCCATTAATCTAAAAAAAAACCCCACGCCACACGTACCGTATGAGAAATAAATAAACAAACTAGAAGAAAAAACTTCGCAATTTGGAAAAAGAGTACCACACACACACACTTGCTCCCACAGCCACGCTTACCGCCCCCCCCCCCCCCCCTTCACCCCTTGACCTGCTGCGCCCCTTGCATCCGGCCAACAGCTTGGTTGCGGGTAATGGCGTGCGGGAGGGATGCATGCATGTCCAGTACCCTGCTGTGCTGTACGTCTGTACGATGGCACATGTACAATGTATAGGATATATATGGATATATGCACTCTGTACAGCACACCCGCGTTGCGTGCTGGTCACAAGACATGGACGAGAATACGAGACAGGAGGGGAAGAGAGCGAGGGGAGAGGAAGGAAGCAAGGAAGTGGAAACCGAGTAGAGATGGGCTGGCTGGCTGTGGTTGTGTTGGTGGGTGTGATGTCCAATGTTGTCTTGCGCTTGCTTCGACTCTGCTCACACATGTCGGGCAAGGTATTTGTGTATGGTTGGGTGTAGCATAGGATGGTATGATGGATGGAGTCAAAGGGCATCCGCTCTGCCAAACACCCCAGGCCCGTCATGTTTGCGGGGTTTTGGGGGGGGATCAGCATACCCGCCTTGCCTCGTCTTGCGTTCTACAGAGGCAGAAAGGGTAGACCATGTACGGGTACATTCGGAGGCAGTCAGGGGGGGTTGACCTAAATGGGGGGAAAAGGGGGAGGTGGGGAAACTTTCATGGATTGGGACAGGGAAAATAGCAGTCAGGGGACGGGGGGGTTTGGGCCAAGGGGGGAAGGGGGTAATGTTAGGGAAAAAGAAAGGAAGAAAGGGGGGGGGGGGGGGGTGTAGATGGTAAGAACAGTTTACCCACATGCCCAGCCTAGATACACCAGATAGCTAGACGGAGACGAGTGGGTAGGTATGGCGCACTGGACTGTCACTTTGATTTGCTTCTCCAGACCGGTTTTACCTGTCTGGCTACACCGACTGGGTGGTGCTGTTGTGGGGTACGGTGCTGGTGCTGGTGCTGGTGCTGGTACGGTAGGCACGGTAGGTACAGCGGGTTACGGTACGGTAATCACCAGACTTCCGTCCCACTCCCCTCCCCCCGGCCTTCCAACCCACCACACCCATCCCAGCCATACCCATATCTACACATGGCCACCACAACCCAGCTCCTCAGCATCAAACACTCGCTGCAAGACTGCGCGCCCTCGCCATTGGGAAACAGCGCGCGCATTGAGCATGGTGGTGGTGGTGGTGGTGGTGGTGGTAGTAATCATGCTGAGCGGAGATGAGCCGTGTGCAACTACCCACTCCCACTACCGCACCGGTACCGTACCGTTACCAGAGGTGTGTGCGACTTGGGTGCGGCCCGGGACGCAGTAGAATAGCCCGCAGCGCAGTGCAGCGCACGGCAGTGCACGGCAGCGCAGGTTACCTTTTGGGTTTTTGTGCTGGAAGGAAGCTAGGTAGGCTACTGTGCTCTAGGGAGAGAGTGAGGATGGCACATGTGTGGGTGTCACGAGAAGGCTTGCCGTCGGTCGCTTATGCGAATCATCTGGAGATTTGTGGGGCGGGGTGGGTTGGTAGGGTTGGTTGGGGTGTTGGTGGTGGTGTTGGTGGTGGTGTTGGTTGCACAATGGCGTGGGTTTGTGGTGTGGCCGTAGGACATGGACGGTGCAAGGTGCAAGGTGCAAGGTGCAAGGTGCATACGATGCTGGCGTTGCCTTCCTACCGTATGCACGCGCCGTGGATAGTGGTGGTGTGCTGTGGTGTACCGGTAGTGCGAGGTGGTGTGCTGTGACATGGTATGCTATGGATGGCGTGAACATTCATACCGCAAGCATGCACGCGGAACCTGAAGGAGCAATATCAAGCGCGGAGCGGGGTTTGCCATCACGCTCCAAGCTCCGGAGACACGGACTGGTGAGAAATGCAAATTCGTGAACTTGGACATACACACGACGCCCCCTTGCGCCTTGCCGGTGTCGAAGCAAACTAGCTAGGTAGAAAGAAGCCCATGGACCTACAGTACCTCACCAACAGATCCCGGATCCCGCACCCAGCCGCCCCAGAGTCACACGGAGCGAAGAAAGAAAACAAAAACAGATCCGAGCAACAGCGACTGCTTTCCTGTTTACTTGCTCGCGTTCCAACAAATCGGCGTGCTGGGGTAAAGTACACCATGAGCGCATGGCCATCTCAGATACTGTCCCCAACATCCAACATCGACATACCCTACCAGGTAATGCAATGTCATAGCATCAACTCTCATGTACTATACCTCTTCACGCAACCACACCATCAACCCACGCCGCTACACCCGCTACCCCGACTCAAAAAACTGCCTAGGACACGGGCTCGCGGCTGTATTAGGTGCAAGTCGGGGCAGGCTTTGCTGGTGGTGTGGTGGGTGGTGGGAGCTTGAATGGATTGTGACGACAACTGCGCCGGAGTCAGCAAGATGGCGTCTTTTTTTTTTCTCTTTAGCCCTGCGGCCGGGCGTGTGCTGGTGGCCCAGGTTCGGTGGTTTTAACGTTTTGCTAGACCGGGGGATTACGGTAGGTGTTTGATGTTGTGAATAGGTATACACACACGCATACGCACGCACACTCGCACTTGCGCACGCACGCGCGCACGCACATCCAACGCAAGGCAACGCAAGGCAACGCAATGCACATGTATAGCGACGATTCTAAGCTGCGACAGTAGCTCCCAACATTCAGCCTGTAGTAGGTAAACCATGGTTTGGCAAGGTTATGGGCACTTGGGGGAGGCATGGTGCTTATGCGGATGCGGACCTGCAAGCCACGGTGGGCCGTCCGTCCGTCCGTCAGTCAGTCAGTCAATCAGTCAGTCGTCAGTCAGCCAGCAAGGCAGCGTGTTGTGGCACCGCCGAAGAACGACCTGAGCTGTGTGTTACAGTAGGTACCGGTAGGCACCGTTTTGTATGCCCTCCATCCGTCTAATCCGCCCTGCGAGACATCCATCATGAATCGAAAATGATGAATCAAGATAAACTCCAAGCCCATCTACGCCATCCCGTCTCCCATGGCTGCTGCTCTTTTCCCGCCTGGCCGAGGGGTGCGCGCAAGGCCCAACGTCACTTTGTCGCTTCCAGGCTTGTCCATGCATTGGCTGGACGGTGCCGCCCGGCTGTTTATCGATGTTTGGACCAACCGGCCATGGACATTCTGACTCACGAAGCCTACGTCGCGCGGTGCATTACGGCCACGGCCAACCTACCCTCGCCGCCGCACTGCGACAGAAGCGTGCAAACACGGCAACAGGGCGCAGGTGTCAGCCGCGGGCGGTGCGGAAAGCAGAAACAGGCTTCTGGTCGGAAAATAAGCAAGTGTGCGTATCGTACGGTAGGCAGTTGTCTATCTGAAATGAAGCGGTCGGTCGACGACGGATGTTTTGTAATTGCAAATGGAGGGGGGGGATCGGACAATGCGGACAGGTTTAGGCGCATGTGCCAATGAGAGAAATGCGAGCCCATGCAAACCCAGCGGACAGCCAGCGTCCCGGCCCGTAACCCTAACGCGACCTGTACAAACATGTCACAGCGATGACAAGGGGCCTGTCTCTGTGCAGGACACAGAGGGCAGCTGATCGGGCAAATTGTTCTGGCGGCCAGCAGCCCGCTCCCTTCCCATGTCGATGCTTTGCCGCACGGGTCATGGCCCTAAAAAGGGCTCGGCTCGATGCAGTCATCCATTCCTGCCTGCAGTGAGCTTGTGTCGATGTCGAGCCAAAAGGATGAGGACGGAGGACATCGGTGCCGGCTGGAGGTACTGTATGTACATGGCAACTCTTGTGGTACATGTAAGTAACACAAGGAGGCAGAGAGTAAGTGGAGTACTTGGAGTACTTGGAGTACAGTATGCGTGTGTAACGTCGTTTGGCCTTGTTTTACCGCGCAGACCAGTAGAGTGGCTACTAAGAGACGGGCCGCGTCTGAGTGCGTGGACTTGGGACCGCTGGCTTTGCCGCCCCTGGCCCATAGTCTAAGCCGGATTGGGAGGTGCGTCGGCTGAACCGGCGCTACTGTAGGCCAGGTAACGTGACCATTCCCGTCTGCAGCCAAGAACGGAGCCAGCCAGACTAACTGCTTTCGCCCTCGCTTTGCTCGCCTGCCCCTTGCTCCCCTTGCTTCCCTTGCTCCCCTTGCTCTCCTCCTCTTTGCCTCTATTGGCGGACTTAGCGCCCGGTCATCCAGCTACCACAACTCCTCCACCAATCCACCCTTTCTGCTGGCCAGCCATCATCCTCCACAAGAACAAGCGAAAACACCGCCTACCAGAAGTGCCACACCACCATGTCCACAGTACCGCACAGGGTTGGCCCCTCAACTCGACCCTTCGCTTCCTTCGTCCCCATCGCTCTCTGCAGCCGCGTTCTCGTTCTCGTCTGCACTCGACGTTGAACTCTCGTCATCGGGCATGCAAACGCCATTCAAGTACGAGATCTGCGGGGCGTCGGTCAGCAGTCTGCACAAAGTACCAAGTCCCGGGTGGTGCCACTATGACGATGTAAAACTGGTGCGGGTGACTGCAGTGCCAGCACATCAAGCTGCAAAAGAGGCTGCTGCTCTGTTGGCTGCACCCTATGACAGGGTCACCCTTCACTCCTCCTCTCTGACCAGTTCTGAATGCAGAAATCGCTCCCGCTACTAACATTTCGGCACTGGATTCAAACTTACAAACGGCACCATCAAACGGACCAGCTCTGCGATTCGATCAAGGCCCCCAGGCCCAACTACCTCATGATCAGCCAGCTTCGTCCCAATCGTAAAGCTACGAAGCCGAAGAAGCTCAATGTCTTTGTGATCATGAGCATAATCCTGATCACCACAAGTCAGCCGCTAATCCGATTGCACAAAATGGCAGGAATTGCTGGTCCACACATCTCTGCCGCAGCCACAGGCGACCGCTACTAAAACTCGTGTGGCTCTGCATGGCAATTGCCCGGCATTCGACTTCGACATCGCGTGCGGGGCAGTTGGGCTTCAAGAAAATGCCAGATAGCCGCGACACGCCCAAAAGAGCGACGACACATCCTCTCGCGGCATTCGAATGGTACTCTCCTTGCAGTCACTGCCACCATAGATCCGAGACAGCGATACCCGCGTATAGTCTTGTGCGGCGCAATGCGAAACACGACTATAAAACTTGGAATTTGGGAGCGCTGCTGACCACGCCCAAAATTGGTCAAGGCTGATAACCACACCTGGGCGATCCGGCAATGGACGCATCTTCGCAAAGTAGAACGGCTGATGGAGCTTACCTTGGGGTTGCGCTTCAATGCGTTTGACTGATTCCCTGGTAAGCTGGTAAATGCCTTGACAACCTTCTTATTATCATCTTGTACACCATGCAAAAACGCCTTTCTGATGCCCTCGTTTCGGAGCACAGATTTGAGATGATCCGGTGCTCGATCAATGTCACGACGAAGCTTGCTGAGCGATGCAGCGTCTGGCTGCCAGTATCCGCCACCTAGCGTTTGTTAGCGAATTTACAAATACAAACACTCGTCTTTGAGCCAAGCGCATGCCATCTTTGCCACGCATGTGCTATGAGAACTTCGTACCCGGGCCTCCAGATCTCGCACGCGGCAGGCTGAAGAGGGCCAGGGGATCCGGCAATCATTGGTAGCTTGGCCGAGTTCCGATTGTGCTAACAAGGCCATTGTGCAACCATCGAGAGTCATGGCACCAAGCCGGAGACTAATGCATGCTGGATCGTTATGTCCACATGTGGGCTCCGACATCATTTCTAACCTTGGTCATATCGGATCCATGCATTTTGCAGTACGGGAAAGTGGCATGGCAGAACGGCGGTCGGCAAGGGATTTTCAGACCTCAGCATGGAGTGTTGTCCAAACAACGGAAGTCGATGTTGTGCATCTTCGTGCAACGTCCATGGTGTGGTTCTCCGCATCCTTGGTCCAATGGCACTGGTTGGGGGCTCGCTTCTGGTATTGGCATAGCAGTCGTGGCACCATGACGTGCATGGTCAAGCACGGGACTCGTCAAGTCTACCTGGACATGTCGTCCAACCTTTGACATTGATGCATGTGTCGAGATGCATGACTGGGCGTATACTTCTTCCGAGCGATATCATCAGGCCGACGAATGTACCCGGGGCGGTTTCACAACATCCTGAAGTCCGTCGGATAAGTACTAAGAAATTGTCACCTACCGACAAAGCTGCCACCGTTCGGTTGAATCTGGACGTAGTAATGAGCGTAGGGTCCTTTTCGACCTGTTCGAGACCATGCAGCAGAGAAGTATGTCTATCGTCGCTTCAGCTCGAGTGACACAAGTTGCAGCCAGATGATGGATGGCTGAAACGCTGCTGCATACCTTGTAGGGAGTTGGGTCTTTGGAAAACCGTATATCTGATAACATCAGCTTTGGTGCAACATTTGAGATACTGAGTCAGGCAGGGCAACCTCTGTAGATGCGGAAGATCTGTAGAACATGTTAGTCGCATTAGAGTAGGAACACTTTAGCTTTCTCACTTACCACATCCTTCACTGGGAGCTCCGGAATCGTCTCGTCTGCTTCTATGATCTTTTCTGACATCTTCTCCGTAAAAGTGCTAAAATCTTGAAAGGCCACTCGATAATCAGGATCATGCACTGTAACATGTCAGATGCAAGGCGACCATTGGGGATAACAACTGCTTCCGCTTTCTGGGGTAAGCTGGGGCTGTCCACATACATTTCAGCCACTGGCGATCGTTGTTTGCGGCAAGATCCTGGAGGAATAACCTTTGGGAGATTAGTTTGTCATACGATTGAACGGATCCTACCTACTCACATGGTGTTTGGATGGATCGTCTCGTCCGTGTATGGGATGTCGCCTGCATCTCGAGCTTTGGGCTTTTTGATGACGATCTGCGTTCCAGGTGCGAGCTTCGCTCCCGCCTTCCACAGCTCTTTCTCGTCTGCATGCTTCCTGTGCACTGGTAGTATCTTGGACTTTGCCGGCCGCCCTCGCGAGGTCACCTGCTTTGCGTTTGTGCCATCCTCGCTAACAGACTCATCTGTATCTTCGTCGGACGATTGATCCTTTTCGTTGGGGTCCTCGTAATTAGACGACGCTGCATCGCCCTCGCCTTCCGTGTCTGTGTTTGCTTCGACATAGGATTGTCGCGCTGCCGCTTTGGCTCGTTTCGACTGCCTGCTTGGTGCGTCTGGGGCAGGACGCTTAGAAGAGCTCCTAGAAGCAGAAGCTGCCGCTGTTCTGACCGCTTTACGAGGCATGGTTGCAGCTCCTCCTCTCTGTCGCGTGTGTGTGTGACGATTGTCGCGAGATTTGAAAGGAAGCTTTGTTGTTTCTTGGGCAGATTGACTTGTTGGCTGTCACATCGATGACGCACTCGTTATGATAGTTCACAGGGACAAGGCGCGAAACGACGCGACCTCGCGAAATTTTAACACGCGCTGTCAGCTGTCACCCGTGCCAAACCCAATCTCCACCCCCGCACTATGACCACCCGCTTCGCAACTCGCAAACAAGTCATCTTGCAGCAGCTCGATGCACCAGATGGCGAGTATCATGACCTCTCTCCAAAAGGCTCCATCGATGCGCCAATTCGCACCTTGATAGGCGAGATCAATAGCCTGGGAGGCCTCGTCACAACAAGCAGCTGCTCTGGTCGCATTAGCATTTTCTGCGAAGGACGCAAGGCTGTTCAAAACGGAAGTGATACGGCTATAGGAAATCAGGATGGTCACGACGCTGCTCTAGATACAGAGGACTCTCGTGCAGGACCTGGTGGAAAAGGCGGGGGTGGAGCATGGCTCTTCATATCACACTGTCCCATTCCACAAGCAGAAGAAACGTCACCCAACTATATACCGAAATTCGGTCTTGAGCATTCTCCTTGTGGAAAGGCAACGACATCTGACGTTGCAACAAGACGATATATCCACCTCAAGTTTGAGCCCATGGTAGATGTACCAAGCATTCTGTAACCTGCCAGTGCTGACAGCGCTCAGATTCTTCACATACTGACTGCCTCGTTCCAAGATGCGCAAGTCGTTCTGACAGCAGCCCTTAGTGCCGGCTTCCGCGAGAGTGGTGCTGTCAGTCTGGGCTGCACCAAAACCGGAGAGTCGAATCCCATGGTAGCAGTGCGGTCAACGGGCTACTCCTTCGACTCCATCATTGGCTACCAAAATGACCAAGGCCGCAATATCGCCATAGTAGACGAGAGCTGTTTGGAAACTCTAGTAAATATTGCAAACGAGCGCTTCAACATCAACCAAGACCGAATAGCACGTTTCCGCACCGCGCTCCTCGCCGCCTCGCAACCCACCACCTCGAGCCCACCAGGCTCGTCGAGGCCAGCCTGGGAAGACGCAGACATGCGGAAACGTCGGAAGCGCGAGGAGGGTCTGGCGCGAAAACACGCTTTACACGACCAACAAGGCCAAAAGAACAGCGACGACATACTGGACACCCTGGATGGCACTATACTCTGAGCTTACTGTGTGTATTTACCCAAACCAGTCTGACACGATGCACATCTCCCCGCTATCAAGTCAAAAAAATAGACAATAAACTCAAAATTTAAGCAAAGTCTCGCCCAGACCATTTTTCTCCTCGGCACTGTTGCCATATACATACCATCTACCCTCCCCCCACGCCACGAATCAGCATCCCATTCTCTCTTTTTTCATAACTTCACGCTACGCAAACAATCCACCCTGCAGATCCTGACATAAGACGCCCACCCACAAACACACACACACTTGTTAATTTTGAGATTAAACCATTCGGGACGAGGTTGGCCAACCCCCAGGGTGAGGCTAGCCATTCAGTCAGCAACGATGAGGTACACATTTATTGTACATATGACCACAATGATGTAGATCCCCAGATGCAACACACATAGACCCCTCAAAGCTAGATTATCACCACACGCCGTGCTATTTTCTCACCCACCACCACACCAAAATCAACCTCGCAAACATTCCCCAGACCCGAAGGATGAACCACCTCATCACAACCCTAGTATACCAGTCCACACCGTATTTCCCCAGCCTGAGATCCAAGCGTCGCAAACATCGCCCAGCGCACTAGAGTGCTTGGGCTTGTTCGTTCTGTTTCTTACCTGTATGCCGTATACGGTCGTGGCATATGTATACTCGGTATTGCCAAAGTTGAAGGGAAAAGGGTATCAAAGCCGTATGAGAAAGGTGGAGGCGGCATGCATGTTCGGCTGAAGGAAATGATGGGGGGAGGGGGGGGATATAGTATAGGAACACACTTACGAACTATAAGTGAATACTCTTTTCAGCCAATATACTCAGTAGATCAGTACTCCTTGACGATAATCTAAATCTACACACAAGACACAAGACCATGATATACTGGACATAGATAATCCATGAATTCATCCAACCTTATCTTTTCCGCGCTTTTCTTTTCTCTCTTGGAAACTACATCTACTTGTCTAGACACCTCTCCTACCACCGACCAACTTCATGCCTTCTCTCATTGCATCCGTCATCTTGCTCATCAACAGGTCCTTGACACCCTTCGACTCCGGCTTTGGCATGAACCCCAACTCGATCAGATAGCTAATGTACACACCTACCGTCTCCTCCGTCACTGCTGCGCCCGCACTCCAATCCTGTCCTGTCCATGCAGCATCCTTCTTAAGTGCCTCGGCTGCATGTTTGTCGTCCAGTTCAGGCGCCTTGGTATCAGCAGGTAGATCACCAGTAACGAAGTGGAAGAGGGGTAGCAGAGCATTTTCCTCCTTGGTGCCAGAGCGATCGGCGACGTATGCTTCCATTTGTGCCTTCCACTCTGGATACGAGACCTTGGGGACGTTGTAGCCGTAGCGCTCGAGACTGCCGAGGAACTCGTTGATAGTGATACGGGGATGTGAAGTCACTTGCGCGACGCCCAGGGGCGCAACAGGTGGGCTGAAGGTTGAAGCTACGACAACGCGTGCGACGTGGGTAACGGGCACCATGTTGACGGTATTATCGATGTCTGGTCGTGACTTGAGCTGAATGCAGCCCTTGAGGATGCGGACGAGGAAGTCGTCTGTATTGGTAGTACCGTTCTCTGGGTCACCGAGGACATAGCCAGGACGGATTACACAGCCACCGAGTCCCTTCCTACCGGCCTGGCGGGTGAGATATTCGGCAGTCCACTTGGATTGGCCGTAACCTGTACCTAAACCCTTGCGTGAACCCTCGAGATCATCTTCTTCGAGGACACCAGTGCCGCCCTTTGCGAGACTCTTCTCCGAGAGCTGGACAAAGTAATCGGTGTCAAGAACCGAGGTGGAGCTGACGAGTCCAAAATTCTTGGGCTTGCCGACTGCGCACATGGAGAGGGCAGTCATGGTTGATACAACGTTGGGACCGCGCAGACGAGAGTATGGCAAGACCCAGTGGACAAGCGCACCATTGTGGATGACGACATCGACAGAGTCTACAAGACTGTTCCAGGTATCGGCGGTGAGACCGAACCGTTCCTTCTCCAGATCACCAACAAGAGGCTCAAGCCTAGCAGTCCAGCTATCATCCCAGATGCCATACGCCTGGCAGGTCTGGCGGACACGTCCAAGTGCTGCCTCGGTGTCTTTGGCGCGAACCAAAAGGGTGACTTTTCCAGGCCTCGAAAGGATATCACGAAGCAGGTATGCTCCCAAGAAACCAGTAGCGCCAGTCAAGAATGTGTGTACCTCCTCTCCAGGCTTCAGAGGCTCTCTAGTCTTGAACTCGGTCAATTGATTTGCTAGCTCCCTAGCATCAGCAGAGTAAGCTTCATCTTCTGGATCATCCTCGATGGCTTCTGCAGTGTCCAGACGTAGACCGATGGGATCCATGGCTTGATCAATATTGGCCGAGAAACCGCGTAATGTGGGGTATTGGAAAATTGTAGTCATGGGTACATTGATGTCCTTCCATTCTTGACGAATCTTGAAGAGAAGCTGCTGAGCTATAATGCTGTGCCCTCCAAGATCAAAGAAAGAGTCACTGCCGCTGATGCTGTCGGCTACAACCCCACGGTCACCGAGCAGGTCTGCCCATATCTTTGCCATAGTCTTTTCGGTAGGAGTCAGGGCAGCACCAAGCTGGGATGGGCGTCTCGCACCAGCTGCAGCTAGTTGTGCAGGTTCTGGGTAGGGAAGAGCTGGACGATCGATCTTGCCATTTGGGTTCAGGGGAAATCGAATCAGCGGGACAATAACCGAAGGAACAGCGTATGCGGGCAGTTTCTTCTTTAGATGCTCACGGACATCATCACGAAGATACTTGAAGCGCTTGAGGAGTGTGACCATGCTGGTGTCATCCACGGAGTCACTATCCTTCGTACCTCGCTCTTCAAGCCAGTCATACCATCGCTTCATTTCAGGAACGATGTAACCTAATCATTAGTAACATTCGGGTGATTTGGAGGGCGTGTATGACTTACTGACGAGGTTGGGCTCCTCGTAAGCGTCGCGCTTCAAAAGCGTGACATTCTCACGCACAAGAGGATGAGCAGAGAGATGCGAGTCAATCTCTCCAAGCTCGATACGGAATCCACGAATCTTGACCTGTGAGTCAACTCGCCCTGTACAGTGTACATTTCCGTCCGCACTGTAATGGCCCAGATCGCCAGATCGATATAACCTGTCGCGGGGGCCTTTGTAGAACTCTCGCCATGGCTCAGCCGCACCTTGGCTTTCTACTCTCTTTTTATCTTCTTCCACCCACTTATTCTTATCCACGAACCAGTTGTCCACGAATTTAGTCGCTGTGAGGTCAGGAAGTCCGAGATATTCTTCTGCAAGACCACCTGCGCGGACATAGATCTCACCACTCTGTCCAGGCTCACAGATCTTGTTACGATCTTCACGATCGACGACCAATAGTTGAACGTTCTTCATGCCACGACCGGCTGGGATGACCTCTCCAATGCTGTCCAGATATTCTGGAGCCTCCGTACAACTAGGAAGCTCGAAGTAGCTGACAGCTCTCTGAGTTTCCGTCGTACCGTACATGTTTACGATGCGAACGTTCGGTGCCAAATTCTGCAGTCTGCGACAGTCGCGTTTGATCAACAGATCGCCGACAAAGAAAGAGTGATGTAGAGCAGGGAAGATTGCTGAAGCCCCTCCTACCAAGATCTGACCCATGGCAGGTGTGAGATGTGTGACAGTAGCCCCGTACTTGCGCATCCACTCTGCAAGCCTTTCATGCTGAATGTCCTCTTTGCTGGGTACGAGCAGTTGTGCACCGAGGAACAAAGGTGTGAAGATGTCTCGTTGGATGGGGTCGTGGGCGATACCAGAAAGCATGGTGAATTTGTCGTTTTCAGACAGGCCGAAGGTCTGAGCCATCCAGGGGAAATAGTGGGTCAAGGAGAAATGTCGTCCTTTTACACCCTTTGGCTTTCCTTCCGAGCCAGACGTGAAGGAAAGCGTGGGTGTCGAATCTGGTCCAACTAGAACGCCGGGGAGTTCCACTTTGAGGCTCTGCTGCTCTTCCAAGACATCCTTACCGTCTTGATTCCCTCCAACCAGTGTACCGTCATCCTTGAGTTCGAGCGCTGGAATCTCAGTCCTCAGCTGCAGATGGTCCTTGATGTATGTCTGGACTTGTTCCGAGAGAGGGCCAGCTTCGCGTGTGGCTTTGTCGATGACCACGAGAGCACGTGGCTGAGAAACTTCTAGATAGATGCATTGACGATCTGGGGGATATCTATGGCATTGTTAGATCCTGCTTTGAGAGCCATGGGCTCACGCTCACGCTACTTACAGTGGGTCGAGTACTGAGAAAGTCGCTCCTGCGGCCAAAACAGCCATAATGGCAACTACCAGGTCCACGCCTCGGTGGGCGAAAATCATGACCACCTCACCTCTCTGTATCCCATTCTGGACAAGGTGATGGGATAGTACGGCGGTAGCCTCGAATATTTGTTTGTAGGTGAACTTGCGCTCTAGTGTGTTGCTAGTCGCGGTTTCCACTACACAAGATCGCTCGGGATGTTTGCGCGCATTTGCAGCGAAGATCTCGTGGATTGGACCCTTGAAGTCGGACCAGTGAAGGTCTGCAGTAGGGTCAGGAATGGTCCCTTGAGTGAGTGAAGCCATTGTCGCGCTCAATGGACGTGGAAAGAGCGAGGCCAAATGTAAAAAAGGATAGGGCTGGCTGCGTGAGCAGTAAGCAGAGTCGAAGACGTGTCTCAGAGGCAACGGAAAGAAGACTATCGACTCAATTCAAGGAGATGTTCTTCCAATCCGCGAGAGAGAGGGAGAGGGGTAGAAGCACTCCAATCGTCCCGTAAATGGAGGAATTCAAGAGTATGACGCATCGGGCCAAATTGTTCACCACGCTTCGGCGACATCGGTGGGTGGCTGACCCCCACCAGCGAGGGGCGGGGAAGGGGTCAGCCCTACACTAGTGGTACACCTCGTCGTCGCGAACTGGTGACAAGTAAAACTACTCTAGAGGCTGGGTACGCATTGTAAGCACAAGCCGGCCTCTAATAAGCAGCACCAGAAAACCACAGTATTGCGACTTCGGGCCATTGCGTGCATGTTCTTTTGCGCCGTCTTGCCATTGCTAGGTGGTAGGGACTCCCTTTTTTTGTTCTTCACCACTAGCTCTCTCTCTCTGCTGCGAGATCTGTCTGGTACTACTCTTTTTTTCCGGGGGGGGGGGAAGAGGCCTACCACGGATGTCGGCTCGCTGTCAGCATCCAGGAAGACCAGGTCGGTAATTCCTAAATGTTGCGGTAGTCTTTCATCCTCTCTCTCTCTCAATTTCCTCGCTCTCCAGATCTCACCCTACGCCCATCATGCCGGTGCAGCGAAGCATCTTCGGGCATCCTATACGGCTCCAGATGCCGCCGCGGAGGTTCCAAGTCGCCATCATCATCGCCCTCTTCATCGTCGTGAACCTCATCTTCTACGGCCTTCCCACCCGCGACAGTCTTCCCAAGGTTCCCACATACGAACAGGTGACCGAGGCCGTCAAGCACCCTCACGTGCCTGACCTGCCCAAGTTCCCCGACCATCTCCCTAAGCTCCCTGACCATCTTCCCAAGCTTCCTGAGCTGCCCGACATTCCCAACGTACCGAATCCGTTTGGCCCGGCAGCGCACAAACCTCCAGTCCAGCCCAACAGCACCGCCGCAAGTAGCTACCGTGCGATCGAATGGCTCTCCGACTTCAAATGGCGCAACCCTTTCTCCTCTGCCGTCTCGCTCGACGAGAACCGCGCTGTACTCCCACCGCTCCGCGAGCGAACGCCAATCTATACGTACTACGACACGAAGAGCGAGCAGAACAAGGACGTTACCCAGGCAGAGAACAGGCTGATCTTGGCCTGGCGGCGCGCGTGGTGGGCCCAGGGCTTCAAACCTATGGTGCTATCCCGCGCTGAGGCTATGAAGCACCCTCAATACCAGCTGTTTCAGCGCATGAAGCTGGACAGCAGTGTCAATGAGGAAATCATGAGGTGGCTGGCCTGGGGAAACATGGGTGGAGGCATCTTGACAAACTATCTCGCTCTACCAATGGCCGAATATGAAAACCCCATGCTGAGCTTTCTGCGACGCAACGAGTTCCCCAAGCTGTCAAGGGTGCAGTCCCTTAACACGGGTGTTCTCTTTGGAGAAGATGGTGCTGTCAACGACGCGCTCAAGAAGGTCATGAATCATGACCTCCTCAAGGACACCACTGCCAACAAGGATAAGATTATGAAGCTGGCCGAGTTAGACGGTGGGCCCGTTGTCAATCTGCTGCCATCCGCAGATGTTGCTGTCGACAAAAAGGCCAATGGTATCGCCTTTTACACAAACAAAGTCCTTCGCAAAGACTACAAGACCGTTGCTGACAAGCTCGCGAGCACGACCACAGCTGAGGGCTACAATCTGCTTGCAAGCCTGATCAACTCACATCTTCATCTGACATTCCAGGAGCAACATCCAGAAGGCATCGTAGTTGCAAAGCCGTTGCCCGAACACACAACTGCGCTCATGTACGAGGCAACCGACATTGCCCGCAACCTGACCCAATGTCCAACTACACCTCTGCCCATGTCGTGTCCACCGAATCGACCAAAATGCAAACCATGCAATCCCAAAAAGCCACTTAAACTGCAAGAATTTCCCGAGTTTGTTAATAGTACCAAGTTCTTCACAATTGGAACGGTACCCCATCCCTACACAATCACTTCGCTGCATTACACGCGGGACACTCTGGATGTTAACTTCCTGCGCAACAACGCCAAGCGTGATCTTTGGATCAAGGAACTGACAAGAAAATCCATCGACGAAGGCCATACAGAATCGTATCGCGTTGTTAAATTCAAAGAGCTCGTCGCTGCCGCGCCAGCTCACACACTCTGGCTCACAGCCGAACGGGTCACCCAGCACGATCTCGACTGGATTTTTGGCTTTGGTCTTCCTGAACTCGCGTCTTCCACCGCGGAGCCCAGCTCACCAAGTGAGAAATCAGAACTCATCATTTTCCCCCGGCCAGATCCACCAGCGCCGATCGAAGGGCAGGAGGTGCCTGACAAGCGCTGGATTGAAAAAGAAAAGGAGCGCTTGCATAGAGCCAGAGATGCCATTAAGAGCAAAGATCGCATGATGAATGCGATTGTCGAAGCGGTGGAGCAGTGGAACCTTCACGATCTGGAGGTGTGGAAGTTCTCCCGGGCCTATTCGGCGCGTAGAAGGATGGAAAGGAAGGTGTGGGAAGAGGACGAGCAGAAATTCGCGGGTAGTGAGAAGAAGGCTGGTGTGAGACCGGGAGGGAAAAGCGCAGGCGGGAGGTGGTCTGACAGAAGATGATCATGTCGCACCACTTGATTTTTAATATTTGCATGATGTTTGGGCGTTATGAGGTGTATCACATAGCTTTATACGGCGTGTAGCCAACATATAGATATCAAATATATATATATATATATATCATCTCCTGTAATATTGCCACCTCGTCTCTCTTCCTCTGGTCACTTGTCGTCTACACTACGATTTAATCTGCCGTATCAGACCGACACCCAGATGCCTATGTACAGCATTCTTTCAACATTGTGATGGTTTGATTTCGCACTTTCACGCTGATGATTAGCGGTGTCCCTTAATTAGTTGTAGCCTGCGCACTCGCAACAACGCGCAGTCACTGGGCTTTTCTATCGCTAAGCAGTGAAAGCAGCTCACCGAACTACGCGTCACCAAGTCAACGCCGCGTTAACGAGGAGCGTTTGCCTTGAAGGGTCGGTGCGGTGAGTGTGTTCTCGCTTTAAGTGTAAATTTTTGCTTGCTGAGATGGCTTTTTGCATCCTCTCTCAATGTCTTACATTCTACGCTTTCTCAACTTGGCCACTCTTCGAACATTTCTTAGCATGGCGCGAATCCCTAACATTTGCGTCATATGCGAAGACGCAGAGAGCTTTGATTGTAAACTTGCACTGGCGCCTTGCGGGCGGCACTGGATTTGCTCCAATGACCTAACTGCCTTCTACATTCTGGCCACTAGAGATGAGAGCCAATATCCACCAAAATGCTGTGGTCACGTCTTTCACATCAAAGACTATGAGCACTGCGTGGAACATGATACAGCTGAAGCCTTCACAGAGAAAGAAGCTGAATACAAGGTTCTGGCCAGGTATGTACATGCATACCGTTCGCTACCATAGGCATGGAGTTTCTGACGGAGACAGAAACCGTGTGTACTGCGCGAACACATCTTGCGCCAGGTTCCTGGACCCGAGGACGCATATTCAATGCCCAACCTCTGGTGTGGCTTACGCAGTGTGCCATGACGGCGACGCCTGTGACAAACTCACATGTACCAAGTGCAAGACCCTGATCAACGGCAAGGCCAACGAGCACGCCTGCTCAGACGACGAGGACGCCGCAGAAATGGAAAAAGCAATCCGTGAAAACAAATTCCAACAATGCTATGCCTGCCACACGATCATCGAACTACGAGAAGGGTGCAATCACATTCAGTAAGTTTCGAACCCAAGCTTATGTCTCTTCACTTCCTCTCCTCTGTCCAATCTTTCATCCCCCAACAATATAAATGCAATAGCTAAGTATAAAAACACGAAGATGTCACTGCGGCCACGAAATCTGCTACATCTGCGGCAGACCCTGGACCGGTCATCACGGCTGCCCGAGCCACACCGCCGCCAGTTACGACGCAGATGGGTATAACCAGAACGGTTTCCATCGCGACACAGGTTTACATCGCAGCGGTCTGGCGTATGCTCAATACATGAGCAGCATCTCTGGCCATGGCGAACTGGAAGAGGGCGAAATATATGAAAGTGATGGCGAAGCGGAACCCGCGGAGGTGTTGCAGCAACTACATATTGGTGATGTCGAACAGCGCAAGGGTGACAGAGGCGATGATGATGATGATGATGGTTCTGAGGATGTGGAATCTGGTCCGGTTGGTCAATCAGGCCTCTCGTGGTGGGGCTGGGGCTATCGGTGAGGGTGCAGACGCGGTTACCTGATGTGGTCTGATGTGGTATCATAGCGGTGGACAGTGTAGGCTTGCATGAATGTTCTTGCAGCCTTCATGTTGAATACAAAATGTACTGCTATCCTTGTAATCACTCCCACAGCCTCAGACATAGTGTACTAAATTCCATGTCCTAAATAATTTGCAACGATGATGTGAGGAAATGTGATTGTCTTGGTCTTGTGAAGCTAGAAGAGGGTATGCAACTTCTACAAAGTATATAGATTTGGGACAAATGGGTTTAGTAGCAGGCAATACTAGTTAGATATTCTTCACTTAATGTTTAGATCGTTCATATTTCAGGTTCTTTATACATCACTACGGTAAAAGATTGTTTACTATAGAATGGTACGCTAGGGGTTTACTATATAGGTGTAAACTGCCCTTGTGTATACCTATAAATAGGTTTAAAGTAGTAGTTTACTTTTATTAAAGTAGTGGTTTACTTTTATAGTAGGGGTTTAAATTAAGTATAAAAAGTAGTTTTATTTCTAATATACGCTATAATACCTAACTAAGACAAAAAGGGGTAGAAAAGATTAGCTTCACGCTATACGCACATATGACATAATAATAAGTCATGATATTTTTACTAATAGGAGGTGGTGATAATAGAGGTGGTGGTGATAATAGAGGTGGTGGTGATAATAGAGGTGGTGGTGATAGAGGTGGTGGAGGTGGTGGTGGTGATAGAGGTGGTGATAGAGGTGGTGAAGAAGATTAAAGAAAGGAGGGGAAAAATACTTAAATAGTAGGAAACTAGGTATTACTACGTAATACTAGTAGATTAATAGAAGTAGAAATAAAAGTAGTTTACTTTTGTGGAATATATAGTATAATAAACCCTATTTAGGTTTACTTCTTCTACCTAAACTACTTCTTAGTCTACTTTAGATAAATATGGCTACTGTAAACCGGTTTTGTATCGTAGTGTGGTGTTCATGACGTCCTTTTGGTGCTCACTAGGGCCTTGGCACAATGTCGTCCCTCAATCCCATCGACCCTCACCCTGACGTCCGGCACTGTATTCACCCTCTTCTCTTGTGATTTAAATAACATACCCGGCTTATGTTATGCCCAGTTTATATGATGAGGATGTCATTACACAGGATGTCATCACAGTGCCGACCCTCGACTATCATCCGCAGTCGCGCTTTGACTGTGCAACCCTCACAACAGGCTCAGTGTCATCCTGTATCGGTTTTTATGGCTGTAAGAATATTGAGCAGTCGACCGATGTACTTACCGCCTTTCCTTAGACTAGCAAATGCCACGCCGAGCCAAAAAGAAATAATTAAGGCCAAATTCTATGGTGGCATCCAACCATTCAAACGCCATGCGTTCGAGCGCTTTAAGGGCGTCTCGATCACTATCTAGGCTGCGATGATACCGGTACTCCGCCCAGAGAAGCACTTTGGTTGGCCTTGGAGATGCTGATAGCCGAGGTGAGGCATACCGATCAGCGCAAGACATGCTATGCATCCCATAGGTCACCACAAGAAGCATGGCAGAGGGCACTGCATGGACAGTTTGATCTTACCAAGATTGTCATTTGATGCACCAAATGCACGGCCGCCGCGATTGCCGAATTGCGGGGGCCATAACACTCCGCGTAAGAGGCATGGAAAACGGTCACTGCTGCGGTCACAGGGGACAGTTACAAAGGCAGTCAAGCGGACATTGGCGTGTAGTATGTTCAGTCAGGACTGACGGGTGACTATCCCTCTTCGACTTGTCCGAAGAGTCGACCCTGGCCGAACGTTTCAGTACCAAGCTTTGCTGATCCTTGCGTGGCAACGAACCAGGGTTAACAGATCATGTTCTCGGCTCTGTAAATCCAAAGCAGTTTAATCTCTCCCTGCGACGGGACCAGAAGAAAGGCCCCTCTTTCCCGGCATAATTCATATACAGTTTCCTACAACTGCGCGGATCCCTAGCTCGCAAATCTACCACTCCAGTCTCGAACAACGTCAATTTCAGGTTTTACATCACGCAATGACATCGCACCATCTACATAAGATTATTCTCTCTGTCAAACTATTCGCGGTTCTTGCCCAATGTGCGCACCTTAACTACTCCGGCGAAGCCATCACAACTCGATTCTGGGACTGCTGTAAACCGTCTTGCGGTTGGAAAGGAAAGGCAGATTTTACCAGACCGGTGTTGTCATGTACGGCTGACGATAAGCCTGCTGACATCGCTGCTGGTACAGGCTGCAACGGTGGGACGGCTTTCCAATGCTCAAATCAGCAGCCGTGGGCGGTGAACGACACTCTGTCATACGGATTCGCCGGCACCTTCATCACTACAGAGCTTACAGGTGGCAGTGTGGAGAGCGCGTGGTGTTGTGCCTGCTATCAGCTGGATTTCACCAGCGAACCACTCATTGGAAAGAGCATGATCATCCAAGCCTCTAATACCGCCTACGACATCAATACTGCGAATCGTTTTACACTTGCAGTGAGTATTTTCAGCATTGCTGCGCAAACTTCTCAAGCTGAGTTCTCCTGCAGGTACCTGGTGGAAATACCACGTCCACCGATGCATGCGCCCAGCAGTATGGTGTCGACCAATCCGTGTTCGGTGAGAACATGGCGGGTGTTAGTTCTATAGACGGCTGCCAGAACCTTCCCGAGACACTACGAGCCGGCTGTCAGTGGAGATTTGATTGGTTGCAAGATGCATCATTTCCAAGGTATTTCATCTCCAGAAAGACCCACCAGGATTAAGTTAACGTAACACAGCGCAAATTTCAAACGCGTCCTCTGTCCCACCGAAATCACTAACATAACACAATGCGTTCGCGATGACGAAAAGGTATTATCGGGTGAGGTGTCATCGGCACATAGCCTCACTCCAGCCTCATACACTATGGCCTCGCTTGCGGTTGTCCTACTCGGCGTACTTTCGATATAGCACCCATTACGAACCTGCCTAATTTCTTCCTACAGCTTACGACCGAAATGTTTTCAACTGCTTGCCTTCAAACAGATCTTTGCGGTTATTTTGTCATCTGATTGAAAGGCCCTGGCCCAAACTCATGCATGGATACCCTATCAATAAAAAAGTCGCCTCAAGATGGCCTCAGACTACGTCTGGATCAACGCGGTAGATTCTCCGTGCTTTGTGCAGTGTCGGAATTGCCGTCTCCCTGTTGGAATCGAGCGATTCTTTGATCAATGTTGACCAGTCGATGCGAAAAGGCCTTCTTATGCCACACTTTTTATTATGTATAACAACATACTGTACCAGATGAAGTCCCACTACCTTTCCGTCTGCAAGTCATAAGTGACGAAGCCGATTTCATCTAAAATTTGGAAGCAGGGGTACATGCATATAATTGCACTAACCCAAAGTACACAGTGTCAGAACTGTACGAGCATCTTGAAAAAATGTACACGCTTGTACTTGACGATACAACCAATGCATCAGGGTATAATAGCTACATTAGTACGACCAGCATGGAACGGACCGAGCATATCATGGCCCGTAATCCACAACATGCCTCTTCTTACTTCCCTTCCCACTGGAGCAAGCCCTGCTTCCAACAGCGCCACAAGCCCACCACAAGCCCGAAGCATCCTTACAGAGGACCGCCCTGCATACCTATTCCGCCAACCTAACCGATGTCGCTCCTTCCGGCGGAAGAAATCTGCCCTAGGCATCATCGGCCAGCCACGCAACACATCTCCACAAAAGCGGCCATATTCATTTAGGCAAATGAATCACTCCACCTACAAGGAAACAACTTCGTTGACCTAGACGAGGGGGTTTACTCCGCCGGCTGACCGCGAATTCTAGTGCACTGCTGGCTTGAGGACAATAAAGATCGCGGTCGCATTTAACCATATCATCCGCGGAGCTGGCGGAGGGAGACATTCGATCTGGCAAGTACAGGCTACACCCTCTTACCGAACTCAAGCGCAGATAACGTGGCAATTGGCAAGGGATCTCCTTCCACTACGCCGATGTGTGTGTCACACGAAGGTGTCGCGGAGTGGCGGTTGGTGGGAGTTGTGGACTGCGGGCGTTTAACAAACCATGTTCGCTTATGGGTCCATTGGGTACTTTACCGTTAGAGAATGGGTCGAGCCGCCGAACGCATGATCGGACGGCTGCGCGGACGAAAGTTTGTTTTTTCCTGGCTGACCACTCTCAAGGTGATTGTGTTTGATCCACATGTTCAGTGGGAATGTTCAATTTGTATAACATTGGATGTTTGAGCTGAGCCGTTGCTAAGAAATACCTGGACCATGGTAGGTACCCTGGCTGGATACAGCACAGACTATCCCAGTAAAAGCTTTCCCCACGCAAAGCACGAACATCCGCATTCTTGGGTCCTCCCGGTCTGTACTAGGTAATGGAGATGCAGGCCATGGTTGTCATAAAGAAACGGATGGGCCACTAAAGCACGGCATGAATATCTCCCCAAACCCCAGTGATCCCTCTAGAGTCATACGGTACACCACTGTCTGCGGAGTCAGATGCAATCTTCACACCGCCTAATAGTTACCAACTGCTACCGCTCATCTTTTCTTTCTCTGCAGACCAAAAATGGTGCGGTCTAATCTGCGTCAACTCTCACCAGCTCTACGGGCGATCAAACGGACTCGGTCCTAGGCACGGCACGGTGCCGGTACGTACCCCATGCGGATAAGCGGGCCTCTGCGCCGAGACCATGTCTTGATTCCAAACCAGAATCTGCTTGGCCGCAGGGCACGCGCGACGAGATGTGGATGAGGTAAGGTAGGGTAGTGTATAGGATGTGCAGAGCTAACGGCTGGTTCATGGATGCACTACGAAACAGAGATGAGGGAAATCTGGGGTGCATAGTGATGGGAAGTAACTGCCCGACATTGAGGCTGGTGAAAGGGTGCAAGAAGAGACTGTCTGTGGATGACGTGCGGTTTGATGTAGCGAGGATGATGCTGTTGGGCATAGTTTAGGTAATAATGAAGCTGAGTGCTGCTAGGAATAATAGATTAAAGCTTCTTCGAATGCACAGTTTAATGTAGAGTGTGAAATGGGACATTGGAGCATTAGGAATTCATCAATACGCTATGAAGGCTCAAAACATCATGGGCCTGGGTTATATGGGTATATCTCATCGCGATCTTCCTCGAAATCCTCTACAGCCCTCAAACGACACGGGGTCAACGGCGCGATCGGTGACAGCGTCTGCGCAGAGAACCTCGTCGTCGTCGCACTCAACGGTGGACTCTCCAACTCCACACTCATGCTCTTCCACCTCAACTCGCCTCCCGGATTCTCCACGAGCGTTGGCGCAGATCCCACACTACCCATACTACGCACCGTTTCCAACATGTCGCCCTTTTCACAGGAATCGGCTGCTTCGTAGCGCTCGAGGCTGTTCCTGCGTGAGCGCGGAAAGTACGAAATCTTGTGTCGGAGATCGTGCGTTGTGACGATTCGAGATGGATACTCTGTTCGTCGGTCACCACCGGATCCTGCCTCGTCTGCGCCTCTCGGTCTGGTGGCAAGACTACTAGAAAAGTCGTCTTCGATACAGGGGATGATCTTTCGAACCATGCGGGGCGTCCTTGCTTTTTTAGGTATGCGGCTGATGTCTGACGAGTTTGACGTGTTCCATTGCCAATCACTGCGAATCTCGCGCGCGCGCTGTGCAGGGGGTGGGGCTTTTGTGCGGAAGTTGAAGACCCAGCGGGTGACGAGGCCACGGAGTATGGGGATGTTGGCCACGATGATGGCGACGTTGTTTTCAATGTGGTTGATGCAGTAGTCGATTGGGTAGGTCCAGTCCGGGCTGAAGAGCGTGAAGAGGCGATCGCGGTAGGAGAGGTAGATTTTTGCGGCGCCGATGGCGGTTACGCTGGGTGTGTTAATACATACATGGTGGAGACTGCAGAAGTCGTGGTGGAATGCTTACGCTAAACTGCAGGTGAAGACTGCAAGTACTACCAGTCGTGATCGTAGCCGTGCGCTCATCATCCTTCTGACGATGATAAAGGGGATTGGTAGGATGAGTAGATCGGTGAAGAGGTTGGCGCAAGTCACCCAGATCAACATCTCGCCCATCCTGTGGCGGCCCATGCAACGAAGGCCTCCGAAGGTTGCTGGCTTCCAAGTATTCCCGGTCTGAGGAGGACAAATGAAAATATATAAGAACCATGGTATCAGTGAGCTTCCAACAGTGAATACGAGAATGGCGTACAAGACTCGTTTCAGCCATTGGATGACGGAGCCTGCGCGGAGGAGGAGAAGTATAATGGATGCCTTTACGAGTGGCAATATGGGTATGTTTAGAAGATTGAATGCCATGACTACCTGGAAGCTGTAAGCAGGAGAACATTACTTCACGAATGATAAGACTCACTGCGTAGTACTCGTCGTAGTCCGGTTCTATCTTATCTGGCGGCACCTCCCAAATGTGCACTCCCACATGCCACATCTTGACATCTATGAAGAATTAGAAAAAGAGTCCCATTCTCAAACTGACAACGGCACATACGTCTATGTGAGGGCCCTATTAGGGCTATTGAGAGCAGTAATGGCAGTATGATAAGCCAGTCATCTGTGAAGTATTGTCAGTCGTGTTCACCCTAGTTGCGACGACTACTTACCCCAGCTCAACCGAAGATTCAGTTTCCGCCTGGTATAGATCCGTAAGATGACGAATATCGACGCCAGCAACGGCGTACCATATATCACTCCCAGGCAAGTGAGTTGAAGCGGATGGGTAGGCATATCGTCGACTCCCAGCCTGTCGATGCAATTTCACAGGACAAGAAAAGAGAGTGGAAATCTCACATCGTGCGTGTACGGGCTCGTGTGGGGACCCCCAAATCCCATATAACAACCTGGAACTTCAGGGTAGCAAAGCATGCATGGCGTTGCAGCCCGCTCACAACCCTGGCTCTTGTGTCGCCCAGAACGAACAGCCGGCCGTCGATAGCAGTCCCCCGCAATCTGCACTCAACTGCATATTAACCCTTACTCAAGCAAATACAGCACCACTGGCCTCCCATTTGCGGATTGTGGGTGGATCTGCCGCCAGTGGCACTCACGTGCACCTTGTTCTTGATTGCCACACTATAGCAGAGAATGTTCCATTGAGCAGATATGAGACAGCGCGGAGAAGCGGAGTCGTAACGTACGCTGAACATGACATTGTTACTGATATTCACATTTTCTTACAAATGGGTACACACCAGCATCACACCTCTATTTTTTTTAGAGGTGTTGTTCCTTTAAAAAGCCGCACTCTTACTGTATCCGAACCGGCAGACCGGTCGTGAGTGGCTTGTTAGAAGTAAAAGGTGTGAGTGTCGTACAGGTTTCGCCAATGAATGTACAGACCCGAACATCATCTCCCCATCGCTAGTACGGAGAATTGGTGTAACAGGACCTCACCAAAGCCTGGGTTGGCGCTGCTGGCCACGGCTTCTCTCTGACAGCCGAACCCTGGCGAATCTGAAGCCGCCGTTTAAAGTGCATCGCCCAATGAGGAGCAAGCCGTAAAGTGAACTTGAAGCGGCGAACATCACTTGATTCGAAGGATTAATCTGCTATCCACACTACTCATCGCCTTTCCTCGTCCCCTCCCCCAAAAAAACAGCGCCTATATGTTTTTACGTGGCGTGATGTACCGGTACATTTTTGACAGCAGGACCTCTGTTTGCATCCTCACCTACTACTTCCCGTATCATACCAAATTGTATGTCTACCTGCTGTACAGTCATTCCTTTGCACCTTGAAACACCAATGACTTGGATTTCTCCCGATACAATCCGGGAACTGGTAAGATGCAACCCAAGATGTAAGGTCATGGTGCCGGTACCGATACAGCCGTCCAATGTCAAAAACGCCATATTGTATTGTCTGCTCAGCAACGTGCTCACTATGGGCGCAGACCCTCTGCATGAACCTCGTCCCAATTCTTTGAGATTCTTATCACGTGTGAAACAAACAAATTCAAGGAAGGGCCTGTATGACGGCCACGTGCTGCAGATGTGCACTAGCCGTACGGTATAAAGGGTGGCATTTCAACAGCGATCATATTTGTTTAATGCCGTGCACATCACCATCTCAGTACTTTGGGCTACTGAATAGGACTAGTGAGCCTAGATAGTATGTATAACGAGGCTACTACTAACACCGGTGGTAAGGCTCTTGAAACAAGGAATATATATAGCACATTACATCCCTGGGTTAAGTGAAGTGTCGGCGACAGAGCTGAGCTTAGCATAGCATTTCAGAGTGGATTGCAAGACACGGGTAGTATAGACGGGAAAAGTTCCGTAGGACCCTTGGCATAGGTATTGCTAGTAAGCATTGCAGATAACGCCCGGTCTATCACCACACTCCTGAATGTATGAAATCGAGATCTTAGATGCCACAGAGGATTGGAGGGGTTCTGCCCAGTGAGTTCATAGCATTGAACGTAGTGCCGATTATCGTCTGGCCAGCACAGCGTTGGTGCTTCATCAATTGTGCTCGATATATTAGCTTTGGTTCATTTTTTTTCTTTTGATTAGCATGGGAAGCATGGATGCACACGCTCAGCCAAGAATGCCTCGTATGACCTCCGACAGAGAAGCAGCTTCGAAGATGCTACGATTCGTGGGGCGATGCATTGTCAACCAAATCATTATCACATCAGCTGAGAGTAGCTATGAATCAACATCTACATTGGAAAACAAACGTCCGGCCATTCTTGCCCTGTATATCAGCAAACCATAGTGGGTACACCACCTTATGGGCGCTCTTCCTCCCTTCTGCCCTAGAAGAAGCATACTAAAACGGCCACCGCACACAGACCCTAAAAGCCTTTATGCCTATACCCTGCATGTCTTATAATATTCATGTGCTACCATATCAGTCGGTATCTCTAATTCTGTACCAAAGTACGAACGTCGTAAACAGCTTGCACCATCATGTGCAGTAAAAGCAAATATCCGTCATGACCCACTGTGGTCTGACAAAGTTCCCAACAGTAAGCGCGCAGATAGCACAGCCTATCGCCCCAACAACTTCTCAGCGCCTCTGAACCCGCCATTACAGGATATAGATCAGGCGTCGTCATGGCAGGTGTCACAATTCGTACCAAGCCCGTTTGATCATTCGAGGAGAGAGAGAAAGACAAGAGTCACCGAATCTGGCACGTGAAGGCCCAAATTGGCCTCAAAGTGAGACTGATATTGTATATGCATGATATTTCCATGGCAAATATGTAGCGTGTGTGACGTCTTGCCTATCTATCCCCGGCAGGGAAGGAAGGCATAGTCAGATACTGCGACCGCGTTGCATATCCACCGACTTCACAAAGTCTGAAAACTGTAATCAAAGTATGATTATTCATTACTGAACAACACGCGATACTAACAGCTTGCTCCACTTCCAAACACCCATTGGGGTGAAACCTCCTCATTGTCACACGTCACACATGACGTTGTACACTGATACCCAGCGCTGCACAAAGAAAACACCATCCCTGCTTACCCTTCCTGGCCCCCCAAAAAACAATAAACCCAGCGAAACCAATTTGATTCGAGACTCTCTCACACACACACAGAGAGAGAGAGAGAGAGAGAGGAAACTCCAGCCATTAAAGATACTCTACGATAACCATCCTCATCCTCACTTGCCTGCCTGCATATCCCACTGGTGAAATCCCCAACACACAAAGACAAAACAAACCTAGAAATTTGAGGGAAACATATGTCAATGACATCTCGTGCCATCCGATCTGATCTCATCCCATCCCATCCATATCCAAATCCAAATCCAAGCCATCACCAACATCCCTACGTCCTAGATAACCCCCCCTTCCCTCTTTCCTCTTCCTAGCTTCACCCTTGACCCTTCAGCATTCCCTTTCCTCTTCTCCTCCCACCACTACCCGAGCCCACCAAGCACCACACTCACAACGAAAACCGCAAAGGAAGGAGAGTAAAGCGGCAACGAGAAGCTAGCTGTTGTATAATCAAATCCCAACTATCCAAACCATCCCGTCAAAAGACAACGCCTAGTTTCGCCCTTGGAGAGAAACAGTGCCCCAGAAAACCAAGCCAAACACGAAGTTTAAAAAAAAGAGAAAAAATCTCCAGAGAGCGATACAATACGATACAAAAGCCAAGCTTTGCAGGGTAATAATAACCCTTATTCTTCAACACACTGCATTCACCTTCCTAGCCTTCCTAGCGAAAAAGAAACTTGAACCCCTAAGAAAACTAAGCAAAAGCGAGACCAAGGAAAAGAAAATCAGTCAGCTTGAAAGCAAGCTGGAAACTTCGACGGTGGGGATGAATAAGAAGAAAGATGATTTTAAACTGAGTTAATGGTATGTACAAATTTCGTAAACGCGGTGTGTCGGCTGTTTCTGTGTTGTGTCTATAAAGAAGAAACAAGGACCAGCAGCAATGGGAATATGCAACAACAGCAAAAAATGTCGTCGTCGTCAACCCTATAACAAAAGGGGACGCGTGCACATCAACCAAACCCCCCTCACCCACAGGAATTACTATGAGGGCGGATTTGGCGTACTCTTCGGACTCCCCGGTGGACTGGGTGGTTTCGGTGAAGTGGGCATGGGCGGCGTATCCGAGAGATCCGGGGGCCCTTCTTCCCTCGTTATTGTTGCTCGCCGAATGGCGTTGCGTAGCCGACTCATGACGGCTGGTTGTGTGTTGGGCGGTGCGCCCTGGAAGCTATTGCGGCTGTGTGCCGACTCCATGCGTGTGAGCATGGCAGCAGAGGTGAAGTCGTTACTGGCTTCGAAACTGGGTCGGACACGGTCCATGGACATGCGTGACCGATCGAAGCTTGGTCGTATGCGGCAATCGGATGACATGCGCGGTGCAGTGGGCGGGATGCCTTCTGTAGAGCGGCGGTATGTGAAGTCAGTGCTGCCGCTACCGTTCTGACTTCGTGGATTGTGTGTTGTTGCGGTTGGAGCGACTGAAGGTGGGTAGATAGGCCGTACGTCTTCGTCGGTATCCTCGGCGTTAGCGGCCTTGTACTTGGACGCGTCGGCCTCTGAGTTGTTGTTGGAAGCAGTTGGTACCTGCTCGGGCAGGGGCGGGAGGTATGCTTCGGTTTGGCGTAGATAATCAAAGTGTCCTAGCTTGACTTGCTCCCGGATGATGTCGGCGTCCATTGGGAAGTACATCTTTTGTGCAACCTTGAAGATGAACCGGGGTAGCAAACAAGCGATTGTGGCACATAACAGATATGCCCAGAAGTTCAAGGAGCCGTACACCTGGGAACCGGCCTTGTAGAACTGAGCGCTGGATGTGAATGAAGTGTAGATTCCAGTCCAGAACCAGACAAAGAGGGTACTGATTACGACAATAAGTACCATTAGCCAATCCCATCGGTAGGTGTTGTAAAGCACATAGATATTCGCAGCACAGACAGCTGCGGTAGCTGCATAAATACCCATGCGGCGGTACTCGGCAAGATCAAGACCACTGGAGGTTGCAAATGTACCAGGGGCAAAAACTTCAAAGACGAAGAAGAAGGCAACGGCAGATTGGTAAATACCATCAACCATGTAAGCCCTAGAGATGGGTTAGCGTGGAAGCGTCGGAATGATTGCTCATAAACCTACCAGAACTTGGGCTGGGACCACTCCTTCCGCTCAATACCACGTCGATATAGTTGCGGGACAGCCAGGGATACGCGGTCATCAACGTCCTGATCCAAGACACCCATCACGATGACTGGAAGCGAAGTGAAAGCCAAGTTGAAGAAGATGATGTATGTGTAGTCGAAGATGTACTGGCTGTCAAAATTGGTGTAAATCTGGTACCAGAAGAGCGAAAACGTCCATACGATGTTCTATCAAAAGGTTAGCATCAAGCCTTGGCTTTCCTTTTGATTTGACCCTCACCTTGTAGAAGAAATTGGCAATAGTCTCTGCCAGTCTGCGGTATGACCATCGGCCGTGCACGAGCAAGAGCCGTGTGAGGAAGCGGAATTGGCCAATGGCGTAATCTGAAGACATGACGGCTGCTCGTCCTTCGACACCAGCGATACCAACACCAACGTGCGCCTCCTGGATCATAGCGACATCGTTGGCACCATCTCCAATGGCAAGGGTAAGACAGTCCAATCCGGTCTTGACCATGTTCACAACAGCGGCCTTCTGACTTGGACTGACTCTGCAGCACAGCACGGACCGGCACTTTCTGCAGAGCAACAGGAACTTCCTCTTCACGGTTTCGTCCAAGGCCAGCTTAAGAGTATCTCCGTCAATGATAAGAGCGTGTGTGGGTGCAGGCGGTTCGTGATCGTCTTGGGCAGCGTCCAGTTCCTCTTCCGAGCCGGTCAAACCAAAGATTGCTAGCTTCTCGTCAAGCTGAGACTCTACAGAAGCCACGTTGTCATCTGTCGTTTTCAGAATGATGAGATCCATGTCATTGTCAAGCAAGTTGCAAGAGAAACCAATGTTGATGGCAGTCTCCACCTTGTCACCTGTTAGGACCCAGAGCTTGATACCTGCTTGAGCGAGCAAGGAGATCGACTCTGGCACGCCGTCTTGCAGTCGATCCTCAATAGCGGTTCCTCCGATCAACCACAATTGGTTCTCGATGCGATCGGAAACTTCCTCCAGTTTGTCTTCGCGGCCAACAACTGCATTGGCGGCCATGTCGTAATCCCTGCTCCACTCTGTATATTCCTCTTCCGAAATCTCTCTTTGGGCAATGCAGAGTGTTCGGAGTCCTTCCCTGGCGAACATCTCAAGGTGTTCGCCAGTGGTGGCGCGAAGTTGTTTCTGCTCATCGGGAATAAGTCTGGAATAGATCATGCTGTCGGCTCCTTTGCAGAAGAGCATGATCTTGCCGTCTGGCATTCTGATGATTGCACTCATTCGCTTCCTCGTCGAGTTGAACTCGAGTGTGTTGAGAACCTGATATCTACGCTCCTCACCGAGTACGTTGAGCACTAGGCGATCTTCTTCACGGCCCACAAATGTGAGACCGACATCGCGCGCAGTGGCGACCAGGGCTGCCTCATCGGGAGACTGAGCCTTGAACTCGATTTTCGGCGGGTCACCAGGCGTACGTTCAGTGACCACAGTGTGACAAAGAGCCAAGACAATCATAAAGTTCAAGTTGGCTTCCTTTTGCTCAGGCCCCGATTCTCCCGCTAAATCATCAATGTAGTCTGGTGCCACAAAGGTGAGTTCGTCGTCCCAGAGATAGGGGTTGTTGTGCATTTTCCTGATTCCTTCAATCATTCGCACACGATCCCGCGCAATTTGCTCCCGAGCGCGTGCGCCCTCGACCTCAACATTGACGCCCTGCCTTCGCTGCATACCCGCTTGCGCTTCAGTGTATGCTTCTCCGTACGGCACACCGTTGATGGAGCACTTTTTGAATTCCATTACATTCTGCGTGAGCGTTCCCGTCTTGTCGGAGAAGATGTACTCGATCTGTCCAACGTCATCGGAAATGTTCCAGGACTTTGGAGTGCAAGGGTAATCGATTTTCTCGTAGTACATTTGTACATCACTGTAGATGAAGAGAGCCTGAAGGGTACGAATGATTTCGAGGGTAATGTAGAGGGAGATGGGAACCAAGTTTTGGAAGAGGATGACAGCAGCCCAGAAAGCAATGACACCATCTGTGGCAGGAGCACCACCATAGGATCCGAATTCGAAGAATTGATGAGAAGTGTCATCGCGAGCCCAGGTGACACCAAGTACAATTCCAGAGACCAGACACATGAGAGCCAGGATGATGAAGTTGTAAATGACATTCCAGTTGAGTTCCTTTGAGATTCTGGCCCGCTTGCTAGGCGTGATACCAGAATTGATCATAATCTTCGTTTCCTCGCCCGTGAACACGACGACACCGAGAACCCACTCCGTGTTGCGCAACTGACAGCCACGCAGCAGCAGATTGTTGATGGAGATGGGCTCGGCCATTTCGTAGGCCGGTGCTTCGGGATCTTTGGCATTGTGTTGCTGCCACCTGAGAACGGCACTGTAGGAGTAGAGGTTCGAGTGGGCACCTTCACTCTCAATGATGAATTCTGCACCTTCGCAGTGTCGCGCATGTCGGACATCACGTGTAGCGTGCAAGGCGTTGCGGACTTTCAAGTTGGTTTCGCCGTCCAAATTCTTGGTTTCCACGTAGCAGGCACCGTCGTCGGAGGATGTCGACAAGACCACAATGTCGGCGGGAATTTCTTCGTCGTTGTACAAACGCACAAAGTCTCCGACTTGTACATTCTTCCAGGCATCCTTCTTGAACCGTGCTTTCTCCGGGGATCTCTTGTAGGGGTTCAATACACTTCCCCAGAATTTCTTCTGTCCTGTTCCTTTGCTATCGGCTCCTCGCACCTTGTCGTTGTCCCCGGGGCCGTGACTGCGTGGTGGGGAATGACTTGGGGATTGTCCGGTAAGCGGTGATGGGACGGGTGTCATCTGTATGGCCTCCTGGGCGTCGAGATAAGACTCTCTGCGTGTGGCGACGGACGCCCTTCGCGTATCGATGGAAGGCCGCGAGCCATCATGAGCCAGCTCACCGTCCTCTTTGCCCTTTTTGCCTTTCTTCGCACTGTTGATCGCCCTCCATGTCGTGATGATCAGTTTGGTGGTACCCTTTTTGATTTTTCGCCATAGCGAGACGGTATTCTCGGCCGTATTCACATTGTTGAAGTCGACGAGCCGGTGGACTGGGGCGTTGTTCAGCTCGTTGTCCAGCACCGTTCTCCGCCAATCCTCTATTGCGTCTTTGATCGCAGTCACCACCAGAATGACAATGAGCGGCACGGCGTTGAGGGCGGGGTTGGAGGCTCCAAAGATGGAGAAGATCTAGGGCAGATGGTGGTTAGTCGCGCGTGGAGGCGATGGTGGGCAGTGGGGAGAGGGAAAGAGCCTACGCCTAGAATGATGATGAACAGGAAGTAAACGTTTGCGATGTTGTGGAATTGGAACCACAGGTTCTTGGGCACGAAGCTGAGGGGCGTGTATTTGGCCGTTCTTATCTTGTTGCGTGCGTATTGAGCGAGAGGGTGGCCGTCGTCGTCGCGTTCCGTCTGGGGCAAGGGCACGTTGAAGTAGACCCTGCGCCCCGAGTCCTGCTCCTCGGAGCCTGCATCTGAGCTGTCGGGCGAGTGGTCGGCGTTCAAGCCAGCTTCTTTGCCCATGGAGTCGCGCTTCTCGCTGCCGGAGCCAATGCGCTTGTGCAGGCGTTGCTTGAGCGAGTGGCGCTTGTTGGCAGCCTTGTCGCCGGTTGCGCGGTGGGTGGCCCCTAGATTGCGCGCGCGCTGCGTCAGCACAGGCTGGACATGGGGATGGGGGGGGAGACAAAGATGGCGGTGGTGCATCTTCCCTACTTACATCGTATGCGCTTCTGAGGATGCGACACTTCGGGCTCCAGCGGCTCCCCGGGCGGTGCGAGTGACATGGCGGCGGCCCTTTTGGAGGAGTGGGGAGGCTGGTGTCAAGGCCGTCCTGAGCTGCGAAGAGGGCGGCGGCGGCCTGAGCCGGAAGGGCTCTACGCGGGCGAGCAGGCCAATTCGAGGGCGGATGCGGATGCCACGGTGCAGACGAGGCGGGAGGTTTCCTGATGAGCTGGGTGAGGGGTGCAGCTGTGTATGTGTGTGGGATGTGTGTGGGATGTGTGTGGTGTATGTGTGTATGTGGGTGTGTGCGTGGGTGTGTGGACAGATTAGTAGGTGCCAGATGAGCACTTGGTAGTGAAAGCCGGCTCGGATAGAATGGGATGGCTCCCGTTACGCGGACAAGCTACAGCCGTCACTCGACACGACTCGAGGCACGCATGCACGCGTTAGGGTGGCACGCGAAAACACAACGGCGCGGTCGGTTGGTGATGGATGGAGAATGAGCTTTGTGGGTGAGTGAGGGAGGGAGGGAGGGAGCAACGTTTGTTCTAGAAGGGGAGAGGGGGGAGGGGAAGGGCCATGGGAGGGGAGGGGGGGGGGGCAAAAGGGCGGAACAAGAAGGGCAGGGCACAAAAGGGACCCTTTTTGCCTGATTATTTCTTA